GATGTTGTTTAACTGCTGATATATTTAAGATCCACGTCACGTTTTCAGTTTTGGCGGCAGTTCTTCCTGTTTTCAGATAATAAACACCATTTCCCAACGTGCATTGCGGCTAAACCGTCCAATCACCGAGCTGAGGATCTTGCATACGTCTGTTTCCGGTGTTTATGACGATGTGAGATGTGAGATGTGAGACTGGGTTGGAGAATTGCACAGGGGAAAATAACGTATCTATGCCACAATTTTAGATGCGGATTTTGTTATAAACTAATACGTTTGCGCTGTGGACCAACACTATAAATTGACGGGGAAGGGGGTAGCAATAAAGATAACACCATTAAACAGTTACACAACATAACAGACATAATATCGATAGCAGCGTCCCTAGCAACCACCTTGGTAACAATGAAAACGTTGTATTTACACAATTTCCTGAAGTATTCTTCGTAATAACTAGCAAACTAAAGATCATGTACATCCACTGCACACATAATCTGAAATAACAACTCATATTTCTCGCATCAAATGACATCAAAACGCATTTTAATGGCCAAACTAACCTTAAAGGGGACCTATCATGCAAAATGCACTTTTGTACGTCTTTTATACATGAATATGTGTCCCCGGTGTTCCAAGGAACTCACCAAGTGTCAGAAAACACAACCCTCTCTATTTTCCTCCATACCCAAATCTCTAAAAAAGGGGCTGCAACGGGTCTGATAAAAACTGATCCAGATTTGAACACTGTCCTGACGTCAGGACGGTGGCGCTTCGGCTATTGGGCCAACTCCACCAATCAGGAGGAGACAGCCACGGCCATTGCCGTTCGAAAGTGCTGGAGACGCTGTTGTACATATGCCAGGCCAGTAGATGGTGCTGTTCTCACTGAATCTGCCCCTGCACAAATAGAGCTAGAAATTGTCAAATTGAGCAAAATGAGGCATGGCTAAAATGCATGATCTGTTTGGTATTTTGAAAAAAGAAAAGTATAAATATGCCTTATATAGGTATGGTCCTACACTATATTATTCAAATATAGCATGATAGGTCCACTTTAAAATAGGCATTTTCTACCGAGAATAAAACGAAGGTCGGCCATGTTTTTTTATTTCTGCGGAGAGAAAGTTGAAGATCACGTGACATAGACGCCAGCCATTGGAAATGAATGGTGAAAAAAAACGTAGGGATCCTACAATTTCAGAGGCTTTTTTGTAGAAATACTACGTCCCAAGTTGTGGACCAACGTAGTTATTACACGTTTAGATGTGAGACTGGGTTGGTATGTCAGTAGACATCCCACTTGTGAATGTTGGAAGCTGTTTTAAAAACAGTGACTAAATAGGACTACCACACAATAGCCGCCTTTAGCTTAGCGGGGGTGACGCACAGCCATGTGACCGTGATTTAGTTCCTTAATAGCCTAACGTTAGCTTTTTATTAAGCTTCAAAAGTCTTAAAAGTGGTGTTGATATGTGGAGATTATCCTGCTAAACAAAACATTTAAGTTTGTTTTCTGCAATATTTCAAATGGATGGAAAAATCCATTTGAAAAATCCCATTGCTTTTTGTCAAGGGGGCCTTTGCGATGCTAAATTCTGGCTTCGCTAACAAATATGTCATCACTGCACGACTCTATAAATGAATAATAAAGAGTTTAATATGGCAGATAATAAAACATTACGTACACATATTACCTCTGTAATGATACAGAAAAGCTTATTATGCTGCTGAAATGTTTTCTTTCTGATAGCAGATACCAGATACACATGGCCAGGGTGAGCTTGTTTTCCACCTCAGTGCGGCCCTCACAGATGACCTGCTACAGCCACAGGCTTTTTAAGGTATTCTTACAAAATGTAGACCAACCCGTCCATATCTCATCACAGTATCTGACAGCACAGAGGAACAAGTGGAACCACATAACACAATGTGTGTTGTCATGACCAGCTGTATTCGACAAGTAGGCTAATGACAAATGGTAAAAAAATACAATGAGCCATTTATTACATTTGTTATGTGTTTTCTTAAATGTGTTTTTTCTGAAATGCTGATGCCTCTTTTTTTACAATGTTGTGTCTTCTAACAACTGTTATTGAGACAGTTCAGGCAGGGGCGGGGCGGGTACTGTAGGCTAGGGAAGGCTAAGCCTTCCCAAATATATTTGTCACTGCATCCTGGTAAAATTCAAATATAATGTATAATGTTTGTGTCTTTGACATTAGCACTCCTATGCAGCCACCAGTGCCCTGTACTACGAAACCAGTTCAACAGACCCTGGATATGTTTGAGTCATCTTAACTAACCCTAACAAACGAGATCTCTCTAAGCGGTCCTACGACACTGGTTATCAACTCGGTAAATCAACCCAGGGTTTCTCTTTCCGTCTGAGCGCGCGTTCACGTGAAAGGGGCGGGGTTTGCAACATTTGACCAATCACAAACATGGACAAGCGTACTGTCAGCGCAGCGTCATACTTCATTAATGAAAAGTAAACTATAATATTAGACAAATATGAAGAAGTTACACTTTAAACATCCATGACTTAAACACATAATCCAGGATAAAAGCCACATCGTTTCACCTGCAAGGTGAATACAGAACAGCTGGTAAAAAAAAAAAAAAAAACTACCGAGTGTTTGAATGCGTACATTAACAGTTTATGATATCACTGCCCCGTCTAAGACACGAGTGGATCTGACTTTAATTACATTCGAGTTGAGTGTTTCGTCAAATTAAAATAATACTTCTGCATACAGTATGTGACAATGTAAGTGTTGCACGGCCAGATACGGCTCAAGAAGCTGACTCAGATAAGGAAATATATGATATAGCCTATTAAGATATTATATGATCGATGATGTGATTGATGATGTGATATGAATGATAGGTGCGACACGTCGGCGTCTTCCCTGCATATGGCAGTTTAAACTGTATTTCCTTCATCCTGTAATATTACTTGATAGCTTTAAACTCCGCACACTGAGCTCTGATTGGTCAGCAGGCGGTGCTTTCACTTTCACTGAGTTGATCTCTTATCTATAGACGCCGAAGGCGGGCAGCGTCAGGTAAAAAAAGTTATTTAGCCTTCCCAAACCTGAGCCTCACGCGCCGCCTATGAGTTCAGGTCATATTGTTTTAGTGGTGGTTATTTTTATGAGATTTCTTTAGATTGTAGAAGTTTTACAATGGAGGTTTAGATCAATTACAAGCTGTTTCAAGCGGGTAAGCGTGTTTTCACGCAAAGTGCAATCAACATATCAACAGGCATTTCATTTCTAAATTAGTTTGGGGAAACTCAATGGTCTGCCTGGTAGTTGTCCCAAATATGGACTTACGTTTTATTTCAAAAACAAGATAAATCTGCACATTCCCATCACATGCTAAGGGAATTAGCAACAAATAAGATAGTTCTCTAAGTAATCAGTGTGTGCAAACTAACTTAATAAGCTAGTTTACCAAGAGGCCAGTTCTACAGTAAAGCCATGCTGGTCTTAACACATCAGAGCAGAGAATGTTGAGTTGAGCAGTTGAGATAATGGCACGGCCATAACTGGCAAGTACAACAAGTATATCTCATAATAATTAAATGTTATATTCTCTCAAGATATCAGGTGGTGTTGTGGTGCTGAAGATAATTACCCTTAGGTCTTTATGTTAAGATATTTATTTTTACTCCGTTCACTTTTGTCCAACTATGTGAGCGATGTGGAGACTGTTAACATTCTTCACATGAATACATGAAACAAACACAAATGTGCTACATGGTTTTCTGCATGGCAAATTCTGGTGTTTAGCCAACTTCTTTGCAATGGATTTAACGCACTTGAAAAATAAGCGCCCACCAGCTGTTTATTTCATTACATTCACATAGTGTTTGGAAAACATGGAATAAATCATTTTTCTTTTGAAGATATTTTCTTATCTTATATTTCATTAGGATGGACCTGATTTATATATAAAGGCGGAGAGAAATCACTAATTCATTAAATCCACTCGTACCCCTTTTTCACTGAATTGAGTTCTATGACAATGTTTGGCAACATAGCGACTTCAATATGGGATTGTCTTATTTGAAGTTTCTCTTACAGTATATTACATGGATGATGTTAGCCTAGCCACCAAAGCCAGTCTGACAATCGATAACAAGATTGAGAGCCAACAAACTAAATAATAGTTGTATTATTTTTGTCGTGTTTGGAAGAATGGAATCCCTACAAACATACATTAGAGAAGGTAGCCACAACGATAGCATACGGGTTGCAACTCAATCTTTGAGGAATACAAAATAATAAGTCACACGTATGCATGTTTAATGTTGTGTGACTTTTATGTATATATGTTTGTGGTTGAGTTTTTGCCACTTTGCAATCTTGCCGCCAACTTTCTACTCTCTCCATGGACTATATTGCTCCAACCCAGCCTCTGACTTATGGCTGGCTCTTGGTTCTTTGAGCGCAACTAGTTGGCGAATTGGCACCGCCTCCAAATTGGTCCTGGAACTGCCTCGGTGAAAAAGAAGTACGGAAGCCTGTTAGCCATTGATAAAGATAGAATAAAGTCATGATTAGAAAACAGTTTTCAACGCTAGCAGTGGAGCTCTAGGGAAGATTCGGTGGGGGGGGGGGGGGGGCGCCATGATCATTAAGATTCAATTCCTCCTGAACTTTGGTTTATGACCAAACTCCAGCAAAACATTCCCATCAGCCTCAGCTGTATGTATGTATGTTTGTATGCTAAACTAAGATGGTGAACATGGTAAACAGTACCTGCTAAACATTATTAGAATGTTAGCATGTTAGCTAAAAGTACAGCTAAATACAGGGTCAGGGAGGTGCTAACAGTGCTAACCTCTCAGTCTGATTGATTCGTCAGAATTAATTGATAACTGAATGACAGGCTTGGAGAATATATTCCAAATCTGTTATCTTGACATATTAAAAATGAAATTTGAATCACTACTTGAAATTAAATCATGACTGATAAAGAATGGGCCTTAAAAACCATTTGATCATGGTGATTCCCGCCTTGGCAATCATTACAAATACATATTAATTCACAGATCCATCAACTAAGTAGCTTACAAAATCACATCATCTTATCTCTCCATGTTAGGAGTCAAATACAAAGTTGGCATCATCTCATGAACAGAAGAAATGAGGACGAAGAGCTTTTAAACAGCAGTCGAAAGTTCATGAAGCTTGAAAATAATTAGCTAAGTAGTGTAAAAACGTCATTGAAATGATCATTTTTCTTTGTTTTAAGTTATATAGTGAACATTCAATTGCTGCATGAGAAAACATATCAAGAGTGTTCAATGAATCCCAAAGTGTCCATGATGAATCTTTGCAGAACGTGCACTTCAGACACACAACACTCCCCAATAATCCCATTCTGAGCAGCTTTTACTGTCTGAGTTCTTCCTCCTGCCCTATGTCCAGACTCTGAGTTTCTCTCAGCAGTACACAGACCAATAGATAAGGTTGAAGAAGATGTATGACCCAGGGAAAATCATCCGTGAGTATTTGTCAATGGCGTGCGTGTTCTGGATGATGTTAAGCTTCCGCAGGCTCTTCTTCTTCTTGGTGGTGGTGGACTCGCTGCTCACTGAGAGATGCACCACCATGTGTTCGGGTTTCTCGGGAACCTCGTGCAGCTCTTCCTGCTCCTCCTCCGGCACCATGGGCTCCTCAGTGTAGCCGGCCAGGCTGTTGGTGTCCGCCTCGCTGTAGGTACCGTCCAGCATGGTCATGGTCCGCGTCCCGGAGATCCCACAGGTGCAGGGGAGTGACTGGCAGGAAAGAAAATACAGTTTATCCACTAAAGGAATATCAAGGGATAACACCAACATTAATGGAGACTATCAGGCCACCTGAGCCTAAAGTGTTTAAATAAGAATTTAAATGTCCTCATGTGTCCTTACCTGTGGTATGTTATCTGTGATAATGATTTTTTTGTCGTGTTTTTTTATGGGCACTACTAGAGAGTTAAAGGAATGAGTCCTAAAAACCGGAAATGAGTTAGCATTTCACCACTTCTTTGGTCTCATAAATGTTTTTTTTATTCCTGAAAGAATTTCTGTGGTTAACACAAGCTCAAAACATGTTCACTTTTTGTTCGACAACATAAAATACATCAGGTTATATACCACACTGGTGAATGTCCGTAGCTTCTATGTGACTTAAAAACAGTGGTTGCTAAATGAGACTACTAAACATCATCATGCCAAACATTTAGCTTAGCGGTGGTAAAGTGAAGTAATGTGACTCAAATTTTGTTTGTTTAAAGCCTAGCGTTAGCTTTGTACTTCGGGCGATTGCATTAACGCTTCAAAAATCATAAAGTAGTGTTAATATGTGGAGATTATCCTGCTGAACAAAACATGGAAGTATCAGAAACATGTGATTCCCACATATCGGTTTTTCTGCAATATTCCCAAATAGTCCCATTGGTTCTTGTCGAGAAAGCCCAAGCGACGCTCATCACTGCACCACTCTACGATAGTGATTGTTCATTTTTTTGTTGCTAAGGCTAGGGCTGCTCGATTATGGCAAAAATCATAATCACGATTATTTTGGTCAATAATTGATACCACGATTATTAAATACGATTATTCATTGACTTTGAAAACATCCATTTATTGAACTTTAAAACAAATACAAATAATAATTTGAACAGTATCTTTTTAACTGTTGATTTCCCTGAACGTATAATTCAACTGAAAAACCAATACAAAAATAAATAAAATAAATGATACATTTATATTTAAATAAATAATATCAAAATAATAAATACCAATAAACAAGATCAACAAATATTTTGGAGCGCACTTCCACCAGCTACTAAACATATATAAATATGATAAATTAAAATAAATTAGACTAAAATAAATTAGATCAAATATGTTGCAGTGCACTGTCACAACCTACAGTAGCAAAGCAAAATAATCGTTTTTTTCGATTATGTTGTTTTCGTAAATGTGGCAGGCCAAAATCGTAATTGCGATTAAAATACGATTAATTGCACAGCCCTAGCTAAGGCACTTTAGTCAAGAGCAACAACTACATTACTATACCATAAGGTTTGTCATCTTGCCTTACACTTTAGTCAACATATTAACACTCCAGAGGGAGAATTCTCATTGATGTTGTAATAAATTAGTGAGTTTTCGACCTGGCCGATGTTTTAACACTTCTTGACCAATGCTCGAAAAAGTAATAGTAATACTAACACGATTCCCATAAAAAACGTTAGATTTGACCTCAGAATCTGAAGCGGTTTTATGAACAAGGTTTACACATATGAGGAATTTGCTTTGGTATAAGTGGTGCAGAGGAAGTGTTATAGTGCTACTGTTGATCAGTGATCATTTTTTTTTGTTATGAAGTATTCCCTAAACCTTTTACATTTTGACTTCTTTCAACCATTTTCACTGTTTATATATGCTTTTCTGACATCTCCACAATGTGCCATATGACTGTCCCAACCCTAACCCTAACTATTTGTTTGGGACTAATTTCAGCGGCGGGTTAATCCATATTTATTGTTCAAATTAGTATTTTTTGCAGAACAGTGTATGTGATGAGTGTATGAAACAACATAATGTGTTCATTGTAGGAAACATTCATTGAGTTTTTGGAAGTCTCAGAATCATTACCAATGAAAAGTTAATGTTGCTGCTCACGAATAATTCATAAGGCCTGACATCAATCTTGGGAGTTACTTGATCAAATTAAAAGAGCAATAAGCAGAGACATGCCGTGTCAGGAGAGTTTAGTGTGCAGTCAGTGTAATGAGTCCATTCATTCCCTGAGAGTAAGAACAGACATCAAACAGTGATTCAGAGAGTGGACACAGATCGATTCACTGATGGTTTCATATTCAACATCTATCCTGACATCCAGGGGTGGAATTGGGCTGGGGCTGTCAGGGTCAGATATGGCAAAAGTACACACATCCTTTTCTCAAGTACAGATACTCGTGTTTAAAAATACTCAGGTAAAAGTAGAAGTACTGACTAAACTTCTTTACTCAATTAAAAGTAAAGAAGTATCGGCTTCGAAATGTACTTAAGTAAAAAGTACCCATAACTACCAACTGTTTTAAAGAGTACCTGACCTCCCTTTATATTAATAGAAGAATAATGTAATTGTTAGCTAATGAATGTTTCGATGCTGAACAACGGCAAAATGACAAAGTTTTCATTGGTCCCTCTTCTTTAGAGAAGACCAGGAAATGATGGATACACGGATCGTGTTAAAATCAATAGGCACGCAATGACTATAATAAATAATGATCACGCCACCAAACACAGATTAAAACTAAAGTAACCAAACTAGTTATTTGTGTTAAAAATGTAAGAAGTAAAAATAAAAAGTCGTCATAAAAATAAGTAGTGGAGTAAAGTACTGATACCAGAAACATTTACTTATGTACAGCAACAAAGTATTTGTATTCCACTACTTCGCAACTCTGGCTCCGGCACATAGTACAAGGCTCTGACGTCATCACCCTCGCACATTTTTAACCATGTATGCAAACCTATATCATATGTTTACCAAAAACGAAATTTAAAACGTTTCTCGTTCTTAACATAGACTATATTAAGGGTCGATATGTCTTGACTTTATTTTTGAACAGATTTCTGTGACCGGCTATAGTTTGTTGGCTTAGTGAGCGTGTGTATCTGCTCCAATCGTGAGCTTTAAACTGCAGCCCCCCTTACCGGGCTCCGCTGAGGGCTCCTACGTGCAAAGAGTCTGCAGCGGTGCCGCCAAACCCCCCCACCCGTCCTCTAATACAGAGCCCGTTTCTTAAACCATGCCAAATGTATGTGTGCATAACGGTATGTCCACACGGCAGCGTTGCATGCTTCAACGGAGACGCTTACCATTCACTTTGAATGGGGTGACGTCACGCTTTGCCGAACTGCATTGTGGTTCCGTCGCGTCGCTTTGCCTCCGTTGCTCGCTTCAAAAGTTGAGAAAAGTTCAACTTTTCAAGCGTTGACGGAAGCGCCAGCCAATCAAATCATATGCCAGTACAAGCTCTAGCCAATCAAACCGCATGTTTGTGTGCCCGGGGCGGGAGATTAATGTGATTGGTTGTTGGTCGCACGCCAGACACGCCCACCGGCAAGCTTCAACGCGACGTGAACGTGGACGTACCGTAAAGCTGAGTGATAATCAGTCATAATAACACTGAATGTGGTGGTGATTAAATAGTTTACTGTGAGATTTGACAAGTCTCCCTTGAAAAAGAGATCGATGATCTCATTGGGACCACCTGGTTAAATAAAGGTTTGAATGAAAACAGCAAACCTTTTGGCCATAATCTTGCAGCCCTACAAATGAACTGAGATTTCCACACACATATTTGAAGCTATACTACTACGCCGGACCAATACAAAGCAGGGTTTTAAGGATAGGATAATGTCACTACTCAAGTAGTTGTTTTTAACTGTTCTTTAGTAAGTGTGCAGAGAAATGTTGATTTAAAATGTCAATTTGAAGGTTGGATTCATTTTGTGTGCATATATTAATATTTAAGATGTAAATTAATCCCAGTTTAATGTTACTATTAAAAATACTTTCTATTTTTATTGTCTCATTTGGCGGCATCAATGTGTGCATTTGATACAGATACAGGAGGAGTAGCTTTTTATTTTTTATTTTTTTAGTCAATTTATTGAACATGTCAGAAACAAAACATACAACAATAATAATAATATATATATATTCTTTTTTTTTTCTCACTCATAATTATAACAAAGTACAAAAAAAGAAAAAAAAAAAAGAAAAAAAAAAATTCTCAAATAGTCTCTGTCATGTTCAACAGGGGCAAGAAGAAGCTTAAAAACCTACCCCCTCTAGCATACATTTTCCTAAAATATTAGGTCATCGTCATCAGCGACATGTTTGTCTTGTTAATTTGTTTGTTTTTTGTTTTATACAAAACAATCAGAAATAAATTACTTTTACAAGAAATAACAAATGGGATTTTACAGGTACTGTTCATAATCATTAATGATTTGGCTCCTAAATAATACTTTCAGTTTAGATAGACTTGTACAATATTTCAGTGCATCAGTACAGTTATTCCACAGACGACACCTTTTGATGAGATGCAATGAAGTTTGGCATTTGTTTGTACGGGTGATTTTTTGAAAATGCAGTTTCCTCTCAACATGTGCATGCTTTCTCTCCGTGTGAAAAGTCCCTGGATATTATGAGGTAATGAACATATTTTGAATAGTTTTATAGTCAACCAGGTCTTGTAGTTTTAGTGTTTTTAGTTTGATAAATAATGTATTTGTTGGTTCTCTGTACGTAGTTTTATGTATAACTCGTACTGTATGGCTCTTTTTTGCAGGATGAAGATAGGATGTGTATTTGTTTTATATGTGTTCCCCCAAACTTCCACACAATACATCATGTATGGAAGTATGAAGGAGCAGTACAGCATAAACAAGGAAGCTTGATTAATTAGGTATTTGGCTTTATTCAGAATTGCTATTGATTTGGATATTTTGGCTTTGATATAGCTTATATGTGGTTTCCAACTTAATTTATTGTCTATGATTACTCCAAGGAATTTTATTTCCGATACTCTTTCTAATTGGACGCCATTTATAGTGAGTTTCTTCTCTGTATTGGTCGATAGATTCCCAAATATTATGAGTTTGGTTTTGCTTGCGTTCAATGTTAATTTATTTTGGTCAAACCAGATCTTCATCCTGCTCAGTTCCTTTTCCATTGTGACCAATAGCTGTTCTAAATTGTCCCCACAGCAGAGTAGACTTGTGTCATCTGCAAAAAGAATGGTTTTAATAGTTTTTGATACTTCACATATATTGTTAATATAGAGAATAAATAGTAATGGCCCCAAGACTGAGCCCTGAGGCACCCCACATGTAACCTGCAGTAGTTGTGATTTATGGCTTTGTAGTTCAACATACTGTTCCCTGCTATGTAGGTAGCTGGATAGCCATGATAGTGCAACACCTCTAATGCCATATCTCTGTAGTTTTTTTATTAATAATTCATGGTCAACCGTGTCAAATGCTTTTTTAAGGTCCAGAAATATCCCTATTGCATATTCTTTCTTTTCTATTGCCTTAGTAATGTGTTCCATAAATTCTATAACTGCAAATGATGTGGTTCTGTTTGCTCTGAAACCATATTGTTGTTCATAGAGTATGTTATGTTTGGTGATGAAGTCATTTAGTCTTGTATGGTAGATCTTTTCCAGTATTTTAGAAAACTGTGAGAGCAATGAAATTGGTCTATAGTTTGACAGTACATGTTTATCTCCAGATGTATGTATTGGTATGACTTTAGCAGTTTTCATTTTATTTGGAAATACACCGGTTTGGATGCCGGTCGGCGAGGTGCTTAGCCAAGTTTGATGTGTTGGCTCCCTTGGTTTGCAGGGATCTAAAACATGTCTTACAGACAGGCCTCGTGGTGTCCGTAGGCTTGCCCTCACTCTCAGAGATATAGCTCAAATACTTCCAAATTTCGCTTCTGGCGTCTTTTTTGTCAACAAGCCGAGGCGCAGAGGCAGTTGCACTCCCACTTGCAGCCATGCTTCTTGTTTTCTCACATGCTCTGGCAGCTAGCGCGTGCATGAGAGAAGGGAGGCACTTAGAGCGTGCTTGAGAGGGGAGGGACTGCAGGCACGGCTGCAGGGAGTGGAAGCAGAGCGCTGAACACACACGGCTCTTATTAAAACAGCGCTTTCTCACCGGAGTACTTTTCCCCGTCATTCTTAAAGTACCGATACTAATGAAACGGAGGAATCGTAACGTTTTTAACGGCAGGGTATCGCGGTACCTTTCAAGTATCGGTACACCATGCAACACTACAATGGGACCACCTGGTTAAATAAAGGTTTAAAAAAAAAAAAACATTTTCTTTTTAAAATCGCGGTAGATTTTGTCAGTCTCACGACGGTATTGAGACATTTATTTACCGCGATATCGCGATATTCGATATATCGTTACATCCCTATTAAACAGTGTTTGATCTTTGATACATTTGAAATGAGGCTTCTGCTATTAAAATGTAATATTGATATTGATCCATCCATTATTCCATTTCTTTTGAGTTGATCTTCTGTGTAGTATTCACATTGGTTATGGATGTTATTGTAGAAATTATTTTCAGGGTCAATATCCTTTTCAATGTCTTGTGATTTATGTTCCGTGTATTTGAAACATTTCAAGTCCAGTTTTTCATATTCAGCAGGTGAGTGGTTTTTGTCCAAGCTTATCATGGGTGTTCTTAGTGTGTTCATTTCAGTGTGTAGCTATTCAGTTACCTTATGTTGATTTTGATGTTTCATTCCTCAAACTGATCCAGCTCGGTGATTGTGAGGATCTGCAGTACTTCCTCCTTCTGTTTGTCTGTTTGTCTGTCTTCCTGGCTGGGCGTGGCTGACCTACATTCTGATTCCCGCCAACTCACCTCCGCTGCTGTTGTTCATCTCACTGATTGCCACTACTCACCTGCACCTGCTTAAAACCCTGGTTCCCATCCTCAGACTTTGCCAGTTCTTCGTTTATTCTTCAGTGGTAAACTATCGTCCAGGCCTACTAGCATTTTTCCTAGTAACTTTTTTGATGCTCCTAGTGAGAGGATATTCCTTCCTAACCCTGCTTTTTTCCTGCCACGTCCAGCCTCCCCCCGGTCTGTCCTGCTCCTCGTCTCCCTTCTCTGAGCTCCTCGTCTGCACCTTGCCTGTGCCGTGGTCAAATAAAGCCTATTTTTTGACGGCGGTGTCCTCTGAGGCCGCTGCCGCCCTGGCATAGCTCCGATGTCTGGTCTTCAGACCACTGATAATCAGATCGTTCATCCTGGTGTATTGTTCGAGGTCGGCCACTCGATTCTCCAGAAAAGTGATCTTGTTGTCCTTTTCAATGTTTTGTATTTTCAGAGATTGTATTTCTCCCATCAGCTCCATGATTTTATTTTGCTGGGCCGCGACTGTTTTGATTTCGGCTGACAAGAAGTCGAGAGATTTCTTAATCTCCTCCACCTCGTCAGGGAGGTTTGCACTTTTCTTGGGTGCCATTTTTAAAGCCCCTTTTCAGTTTTGCTCTTTTGTTATGTTTATTTTCGATATCTGTCAGGTTTTGAGGCAGTTATCCCTCAGGTTTTGTAGCAGCACTCAATTCCGTGTGTGCACTCACTTCCGCGTTGACATTCCAATTACACTTAAACGTAGCTCTAGGATTGGGTCTCTTAAGGTCAAAATAATGAGATCCTCGACTTCATGCTAGGCGCTGGAAGATTCCGCTTCCGATGGCATGCACTCGGTTCTCATTGGAATCAATTGAAAAAATATAAAATTTCTGGCTAGCTGATTTAAACCTTTCTATTGAACATATTTTAGGCATGAGATGTTTTTATGATGACTTGATCAACTTTCTTAAAGGTGGGGTAGGTAAGTTTGAGAAACCGGCTCGAAAGACACTTTTTGTTATATTCCATGGAATGCTCTTAACATCCCGATAGCAATGAATATTTTAAGTGCTTTGACAAAAAATCCATACAAAAATGTCATCTGTGGAAGCCGTAGTACTGTAAAAAGCACGACCAATCATTTTAGCCGGCCCGGCTAAAATAACTGGATGGCCTACCTGCCTGTCAGCCTTCCATCTGTGCACAAACTTATCTTGTGCCCTCATTGGTCATGTGCGCGTTCGTGTGTGTTGGAGGAGGGGCTCTGTAAGGAAGTGGCAGATTTTTCCCGGCTGTGTATTTTCAAATTCTAGCACACTCGTGCTGGTTTCTCCAAAATTACCTACCCCACCTTTAAAGCATGTTGTTCGCATACAAACTCTCATTGTTCTTTCTCTTTGTTTCTAGCTTATTCTTTTTGTACCTACAGTAGACAGCCTGACAGATGCTCTCTGAAGTGGAAATGACTAAGCCACACGAGTGCATTTAGAGCGGGGAACCTCTGAACAGCTACAGAGACTCGTCTGGCTCCTGAATAGAGAGGGATGCCTCTTTTATTTAAATACTTAATGGCATTCTGAAGTCTTTCTCAAACAGCGTAGAGCGGAAACCAACCTGAGATCGTGCTCTCATTCTCATCTTGCGCTCTCTCCGGTCCTGGACGGTGGACAGGTAGTTGACGACGGCGTATTCCAACACAGACAGGAAGACAAAGACGAAGCTGACCCACAGGTAGATGTCCACCGCCTTGATGTAGGACACCCGGGGCATGGACGCATTCACTCCAGTGATGATGGTGGACATGGTCAGCACCGTGGTGATGCCTGGACACAAAGACAAAAAGTCCTCACTAACTGCAGGTTGAGATTTCAGAGTGTAGTACAGTATAATCATGGAGCTGACTCGATGTGGGGCAACTCAACTATAGGGTTCAAAGCAATAACAACACAACACAATATAATGCAATGTGGTCCAACAGCCCTGTAATGAATAGCCCTGGGAAGCTTCTTCTTCTAGATTTGCAGGTCAAAAGTAACATTACTTAACTAGTCTTTAATTCCAGTATTGTATATATTATATAGTATATAAGTATTGACCCAATCATGTTTGAATGTTTAGACAGACTCCCAGTCGATAGATGGATCTGGCACATTCATTGAGATGGCCCTATGTGTGTCTCTCTGAGGTAAGAGGATCAGCTCTAACAATCATCCGTTTTCCTCTTGTAATGGCAGCTGTAGCTTTTGGACTCTAATGGCGCATTTCCATTGCAGGGCCTCGCTCGGCTTAGTACGGTATAGTTAGGCCTTGTTAGGCCAGGCTCACTTTATGCTGCGTTTCCATTACAGTTTAGTAGCTGGGGCAGTAACTATAGTAACGCAGTGTAGGCGGAGCCGTGACGTCATCTTCAATGCGAACCACAGAAAAACAACATCAGCCGTTAGCTGTTAGCACTCAAGCTCACAGCTCCTCATATCTGTTCAGAAACTAGACAAAAGTTAAACAAGTACAAACCACAGACTGCCTGTGTCATGGCGAATACAGTCGCTGGTTTATTTATGTCTGTATAGGCCGTTGTTGTGAGTGTGGACGGTCGGAGCATATACTGCGTTAGCTTAGCCGATCTCCATTTAGAAAACACGCATTTTAAAAGGTTTTTCGCCTGCCGTCTGTCTGCAGACTTGTCAAAGCATTAATTCATGGTTTTTACTAACCGGTATCAGTATGTTGTTACTTCGGCATCATTTTGAAACGTGTATTACAATTAAATCACGGTCAAATATGTTCATTTTGTTGTAGTTGTAGCCCCCTTGCCAGCGATTCTCTCTCTCTAGTTTAGCATACTCAGCCCGAATCAGCCTGGTTGTTGGCCCGGAAAGAACCTCGATTTTATGGGGCCAGAAAAACTGTGAAATAGTACCCGCTAGCCGGTACTACGCCTAGTGGAAACGCAACCAAAAACGGGCCGTGCACACAGGGATTTATGTTTTTTTTTTAAATACTCGCGTTACAATCATGTCAGGTTTTTGGTGGATTTAGTGAAGTCTTGGATTGCAGAGTATGAATGTCCTCTTCCATTATTTTCAGACGATATATACGTGTGTAAAGTTTGTGAAGGCAGGAGGAAAAAGCTTCCGCGATCACCGTCTCCTCTCCGTTCCTCCAAACCCCCGCCCCCCCCCTGAAAATAATGAGTGACAGGCTGATTAACCTATTAGAAACTTTATTATTCACTTAATCACTGATTGAGATATAATGAAGCTAACTTAATCTCCTACAATCATGGGATTTATGTAACAGTAAGACAAAGAATGTAATTGTGCACCCACATGCAGTATTTTTGTTTTTATAATGCTGTTATACTCCTGTTGTCTGCTGTGTTCAGACTCAAGTCATGTTTGTGATGCCACATTTTTTAACAGAAGACCGTTGCGAGAAGCTGCAGCTAGACTGCAGAAGCATTAGTTTTTTGTTTTTGAGGATGGAACAACTTCACACACAGATATAGGGAGGCTAGACCTATACAATTAATTTATTATGGTTTATAAATTAATGTCAAGACATTTATGTTATTGATTTCTGAAGCACTTTCTAAATAATAAAAAGAGAGTTCATATGTATTTACTGCATGTATTCATTGATGAAAAATAAGCCATGTGCAGTAATATAGAAAATTGAGGATGCAACGCATTGGTATGAATCGTGATGCATCGTGATGCATCGGGATATCGAATCGAATCGAATCGGTGACAGGATAATCGTAATCGAATCGAATCGTGAGACCAGTGAAGATGCACAGCCCTAGTCTCGGCTCATAAATGGAGAAGGAAAATAACTCTGGATTCAGTCTGGATTCAATTTGAGTTATTTTAAACCCTAAAGATTTTAAATAAGGGCTTTAAGAGTGATCATACTGGTTTATTTAGCTAAGATCTGCTGATTTATAGACTTGTCTTTCCCAATGTAAGTCAATGGGAAAAGGTATTTTAGGGCACAATGAGGCCACGGACTGACAGGAAGCTGTAGTACCACCGTTTGACCACTACAAACATTAGTTTTGCGGTCCAATGCACTTCCTGGGGGCTTGGTTCTGATTAGAAGACTCAATTAAGAATCACTAAAATATGCAGACCCGAGGACAGTTTGGCAGAAGAGATAGTGGCATACAATATGACTGCTTACATGTATTTGTTTGTATTAGTTATCTTCTGTTTTCCTTGGTCAAGTCAAAATCAAGTAGTACAAACACAGCCCAATACAGAAAATATGAGTGTTGGAGCATGGGAGGCTTCACACATGTGTTTGTTCCAAATGTGTGGAGCCATGTCACAGCCAGCTTCCATCATCCCACAGTCCCATCTGACCGGGGGCACCCAAATCTCTTCAAAGGACATTTGACACAAGTTTTTAAAAACACATTTCTTACCCAGGGAGACTCTGGCCGGCACGGCGCGGCGGTCGATCCAGAAGGACACCCATGAGAGCATCACCATGAGCGTGGCGGGGAAATACGTCTGCAGCAGGAAGAAGAAGATGTAGCGGCGCAGCGTGAAGTTGATGTACAGGCGATTGTACCAGCCTGAAACACAAAAAGTTCAAGATCAAGCAGACTCCAAAATTAACAAACTGGTAACACAAGACAGGGTCAATGTGCTTATTAAAACACAGAGTATCCTTTTCGTTACCTTGAGAATAATGTAATTACTATTGCTCCACACTACCTCTTTTTAAATCTGCACAGCTCTTGACTTTGAATATAGTATGTGTCTTATTTTATTCTATTGTACCCTACTCAGTTGCTCACATTATTAGATTTTCTGTAAAAAATAAATAAAATACATTTTTTACAATTGTCTTAAATATATATTTTTAAAATAGCTTATATAATAGTACTTTTCTTGCCATGTATTCTTCTTTCTGTGTCTTTGTATGCACCATTTACACCAAGGCAAATTCATATGTGTAAACCTACTTGGTAATAAAACCGATTGTGATTCTGATGACATTAAATGAATGTAACGGCACCAAAACACACATAGATTTCTGTGTGAATGGGTTCATGCACATGGAGAAATCATGGTCCTACTTTGAAGATTGTATAATTTGAAAGTGGTGTGAAATGAATCCTTAATTCTTTGTCTTCACTGCTGCTGTCAATCATCTCGTCCCACCTCAGCAGGGGAGCTGCTCTGTGTTTGAAGATGATTCCAAACGCTGTAGGGACAGTTGCTATCCTTCCATTGGCTGTCCTCATTTCCATATAAAATACTATGTTTTTAGTTATGATGTGATATTGGAAATTGGATCGTCTAATTTAAGTTTAAAACAACTTTCAAGACTTGATTACCATTTCTTATTTAAAGGATATTTTATTGATTTGTTTTCCTGTCTGTCATTGATATTCCTGCCTCTTTCATATTCATTTTGAATAATCTTATGTAAATCACTTTCAAACTTCAAAGTTCAGTGTTCCTCTCTCTTCTCTCTGTCTCTATTTACATGGTTTAAATTATTTTAAATCCCTGATCTAAAATACAATGATTTCTGCTTAGTAACTGAACCACTGTTAAATCAATGCACTTTTATCTACTTTGTAATATTAATTATGTCAACAGTAAAAAAAAAAGACTAAAGTAGAGTAGAGTATTGTGGGATGGTTTTCAATGACTGCTTCTGTTGACTCATATATCCCCCCAACACTTTGTCTCTATCAACGTCGCCTCATTTCTTACTTTGCTCAAAGTATCATTACTATGGCTGCTAAAGGGCTTCTCTCTTGACTCATACTCAATGTTTCAATTTTCCCCAAATATTCTTGGTAAATATCCTCCTCAGATCTATCATTTGTCCTGAGTTTGGAGCTAGAGTGTTGTGTCTCGTCAGATGTATTATGTATTATGTTTCACTGACCTGATTACCTGCCCCGCCCTTATTGTTTGCACCTGTAGAGCCCCTTGTGTGTGTTTCTATTTCGTCCCTACTGACCGCCAGAGGCGGTGCTTAGCACTAGATATGTCCATCGTGCACATGCGCAGCTCGAGTACCAAATAACAACAAAGTCACCTGTGACCCACGTGACACCGGCTATATCAGCCGGTGTCGTCAGAGGATCTGTTCCTTTCATCTTCTCGCTGCGCGAAGAGTACCGTGGCTACATTCTTGTAGCCTACAGCGTTGAATTTGAACGTTTGATCTGAGGGATTTTCTCTGCATACAGCTGGCCGCGTGCAGTTTCGCGACTGGTCCAGTCGGAGCCACGGGTTATTAACGCGTCCTCCAGGAGCTGTGGCCGGCTGTGCGCCGTGCAGAGCCTCGACGGACAGGTTTGTGTCAACTTGTGGTGATGGCTGTGTTCCCGCACCCTCTCCCAGCTAAGTTCTCCTGATTGCTGTCTTGTTTATTGTTTGGCTTAGACTTTCTGGTGACGACAGTGTTCCCACTTCCTCTCCCATAAAGTTGTCCTTATTATGCTCTTTTGAAGTTCTGCTTGTGGCGTTGTGCCCGAGCTATCATTAGCTTTTTGAGTTCCCAGCTTTAGCTGCGTCTCTCGTTCAATTTAGTAGGGAAAGCCCAGGGTGCCATAATTGCCCGTTTTTTGCTTAGATGTAGAGAGTAAGGTAAGTACTGGCCATAGTTACTACTGTAACTACGGTCCTATGCCATGTAAACACTGGCCATGGTGACTACTGCAACCATGGCCTATGGGTCTAGGCTCAGCCTAACTATATCGTTGTAGGCTATTTACTGCTCCTAGTACTAGACTCCTAGCACTAGGAGGGGTAGATGCAGAGAACAATCTTCACTGTGTGTACAGTGGGCTCTGCATGTGTGGCCATTAAAGAGGATTTCATCCCTCCCTATATTATATTATCTAGTGTGCAGCTGTTGGCTGACACTTTTAAACACCGCTAAGCCGTGTAAGTACTGGCCATAGTTACTACTGTAACTACGGTTCTATGCCGTGTAAGCACTGGCCATGCTTACTACTGTAACTACGGCTCTGTGCTGTTCTCTATGCCCTGTTAAACTTCCTTATTTAACCCAGCTAGGTGAGGGCAGTGCTCTCGCTCCCGCTCCCTCTGCTGGTAACGTGGGTGTAGTTACATCCCTCTTTCTGTTCGGCCAGTAGGAGCATTGCTCTACTCTTTCCGTTAAGCAGGTAGCTGGGGAAGGCTGTGTTCTCGCACCCGCTCCCGGCTACACTGCATCTGGCTACCTACAGAATGGCTCATTCATGTAGCGCCTGTATGGCTTCTCTTGAGCCCGAGGACGGCCATGACCGCTGCCCCCCTCTGCCTTGGCCTCGAGCATTTGAGGGAGGGTCTCAGAGCGCCTGCATGCACTGTAGCTTCATGCCTCGGGCACTCAGAGTGGCTAGAGTCGCAGAGGTGGCACCTCTCCTCGTCACAACTTCCTCCAGCTCAGTCTGGCCGTTCCCGGCGACTTGATGGAGTGATGGCTATGGGTTCACCCCCCAGGTAGAGGACTAGAAACAGGCTGTCCTCTAAGGTGGATCGGTTAGCTGCCGTCATGGAGCAGACGAAGTCGCTCCTGTTGGCCCTTCAGCCCCGGTGTGGGGGCTACTAGCTTGCCGTCTGACCCTCCTTCGGTTGCCACACCTCTGCTTGAGGATGCCATGTCACTAGCGGCTTCGGCTAAACCTCTTCTATGAAGGGGTGGAGTACGGGGCCCCGCTCACCCCAGAGGAAGCTTTCCACTCCTCTGCTCAGAGCTCTGCAGGGCATGGAGGATGCCTCCATGGCGGCCACTATTCGTGCGGCCCTGGCACGCTTGCAGCTTCAGGTTCCGCAGGTCGACTCGGCTCAGGCTAGCGCCTTCTTCAGGCATAACCCTGCCCCTGTCACTCTCACTGTTTCTCCTTCAGAGGAGTACCTGAGGGAGCTCCATGCATGCTGGAGAGACACCAGGGCGAGCTGATCTGTAGGGCCTACGACACAGCGACACGCACGGGTCATAACGGGAACTCCCTGTCCCATCTGATGCTGGCAGTCTCTACCTCTCTGCAGCAGGCTCCGGCTGAGCCTTCTTTGCTGGGCCTCAGTGATGCATCACTGCAAGCCTTTGCCCTAATGTCTAGGGAATTGGGACGAGTTATGGCCTTATTGGTGCAGACTCGTCACCAGTTTGGCCTGCTCAGTCACCACTGTGTGCCAGTCGAGCCAGGGGAGCTGTTTGGGGAGCGTGCTGCCCAAGCTAGGCGGACAAGGCAGCAGCTTTCGGGTCTTCATAGGCCTGTGCCCACTCCCAGCAGGCCCAGGGGCCCCTCTACCAGCCACACTCAGCCACCAGCTTACAGTGGTGGTCTGCGCAGGTCCCAGCGGCCCACTCATCTGCCTCCCGGGGGCTTTTGTGCCCCCGGTCGCCGGCCTTCTAGGTGGCCTCGTGCCTCAGAGCCTTACCGGCGCCCCCCAGCCAGTCTGCGCGCCATCCCGGTCTCAAGTGGCCCAGGATACGGCGCGCCTCTTCTCTCACGTAGCCCGGTTGGGCCTAACAGTGAGCACCAGAAAGAGTTGTCTGGACCCTTCCCAACAGGTCACTTACCTGGGGATGGTCCTAGACTCGGTCGCCATGAGGGCCTACCTGACACCTCGTCGTGTGGACGACATTTCCCACCTTCTTCCCATCTTCAGGCCGGGCAAGATGGTGCCTGATATTCAGTTCCTCCGGCCCTTGGGCAGACTGGCGGCTGCCTCAGCCGTTGTGCCCTTAGGCCTGCTGTCGTTGCGCCCCATGCAGATGTGGCTGAACAGCCTTCACTTGGGCGCCAAGTGGCACAGGCACAGGGAAGTCAGGGTGTCGCAGCGTTGCCTCCACTCTCTGTCACGCTGGAGGGGCAGGGCCTATCTCCTGATGGGCGTGCCCATGGGTGCCAGCCCATCCCGCCAGGAGACTGTCACCGTAGGTGCAGGTCTCTCAGGGTGGGGTGCAGTGCGGCAGGGCAGGACTGTTCAGGGTCAGTGTTCTGCCCAGGAGGGTGCACGCCATGTCAATGTGCTAGAGCTTCGGGCTGTGCAGCTTGCACTCACACACTTTCTACCCCAACTGGGGGGCAAGCATGTGCTTGTTCCTTGGGACAACATGTACACTGTTGCCCAGACAGCAGTCCCTTCTAGATAGTGGACGTTCTCACTCCACTCTGAGAGTGTATGTGGCTGCTATTTCTCCCCAACATGTTTGGGTCGACGGCGCCACGGTGGGGTGCCACAGGTCCGTGTCCCTCTTCCTGAGAGGGGCTTTACGGCAGCATCCCCCTAGCACCCCGAGGGCTCCGGCTTGGGACCTAACCCTGCTGCCGGATGCCCTGTCATCTCCTCCCTTCGAGCCCCTGGCCCAGCTGGGGCCTAAGTGGCTGCCCACGAAGGCAGCATTTCTGCTTTCCATAGCCTCAGGGAAGCGAGTTGGGGAGTTGCATGTCCTCTCCATAAGCGATACATGCCCGAGGTGGGACTCTCAGGTGTTGCCCTTTGGGCAAATGTGGCATTCCAGCCCAAGGTGCTTCCACAAACCCACTTCAATCAGCCTGCCCAGCTGGCACACTTTGACATTCAGGAGAACGGCACGTCAAAGTTGCTTTGCCCTGTGGGTGCCCTAAGGGCGCGTATATCGATGCTACTGCCTGTATACGGCAGTCGGAGCAGCTCTTTGTTTGCCATAGCGGCACTAAAAGAGGTTTGGCCCTCTAAACAGCGGCTGCCCCACTGGGTTGTCGATACCATCTCACATGCCTATGGGGCCAGTGGCCGCCCCCTGCCAGCAGGGCTGAGATTCCACTCTACAAGGAGCATCTCAACATCTTGCGCCCCTGGAGACCATCTGCGCCGCGGCGTCGTGGGCGTCTTCTGGCACATTCTCCAGGTTTTATCGGGTTAATGTCGCCACTCCCCATCTTTGGGCGTGGTCCTTTTGCCGAGCTCCGCTGCTTCCAGTGGTGAGCAAGGTCTTGGATTCTTCATGACATTGTTGGTATAAGTCATCCAGTGCTAAGCACCGCCTCTGGCGGTCAGTAGGGACGAAATAGAACGATAGTTACGTCTGTAACTACGGTTCTATGAGTCCCGGATGACCGCCAGAGTATCTTGTCTCTCAGAATTCTTGTGTGCTCGCGAGAAGATTCTGGGAACAGATCCTCTGACGACACCGGCATATGTAGCCGGTGTCACGTGGGTCACAGGTGACTTTGTTGTTATTTGGTACTCGAGCTGCGCATGCGCGCGATGGACATATCCAGTGCTAAGCACTGCCTCTGGCGGTCATCCGGGACTCATAGAACCGTAGTTACAGACGTAACTATCTATTTATTCTGTGTTTTCTCTGTGCCAGGTGCCAGATCGTTTCGACCCTTATGATACTTGTCAGCCAGTTGTTATCTGAGCTACAGTGAATTTAAGTTAGTTATTTGTAAAGTCATTTATTGGAGTCCTTGCTTTACATGAGTGTTTGTATTGCCTTGCTTATCACCTTAAGTAAATTCCTTTTTTGAACCATCTTTTGTCAGGAGTCGTGCATTTGGGTCCTATCATTTTCGTGTGTGCCCCAGTGGTAACATAGAGGGATGACCATGGTGTCAAAATATCCGCAATATTTATGTTTGTTGACTGTAGACCTTTATTTGTTCACTTATTTTATGTTATTTTTAAAATACTGTTACTTATTGTTACCACCTTGATGTGTAACTTTAATTGTGTAATTTCTTTTGTTTATATTTTATGCATGCCTCTTAATTAATATTTTTCTCTTTTGCCTCTATACTTTTGCTGTAATGTACATTTCCCCTCTGTTGGAAGAATAAAGGTATTCTGATTCTGACATGGTTATTTGGGACACAATAATTAGTATAATATCCTGATATTGCACGCAAGAACAACGTCTAACAAGAACCATTCACAAATGAAGACATAACCTCATGTCTGAGCTTTTTATGCATGTCTTTGTGTTTGTGTGCGTGTAAGCTAAAAATAAGATATTTTCTTTCAGGAGACGATGGAGACCAAAAAGAGTTCAAAGAAAGTTAATATTTACAAGCCAATTCAAAACTATGAAAATCAAGAAAATAGAAAATAATGACTGTGTTTAAGAGAGACTGGAAATATATGTGTGTGTGTGTGTGTGTGTGTGTGTGTGTGTGTGTGTGTGTGTGTGTGTGTGTGTGTGTGTGTGTGTGTGTGTGTGTGTGTGTGTGTGTGTACCCGTGCTGCTGTAGAAGGCCAGGCGAGACGTGGTGTGGAACTTCTGGATGAGGAACTGAGACAGAGAGATCCTGTCGTCGGTGCTCAGAGACTCGTCCCCGCTCTTCCAGTACAGCATCAGATCTTCATCTGTGTAGGCATCTGGACACCACAGCAACCAATCAGATTCACTCTTAGACGCAATAACGCATCTCCAACAAAGCTCCTAATAAATGGCTCATAACAAATTGTTGTCCATTTTTATGAAACAGCCTTTCAGAAGTAAACTATTTTTCAGTTCCAACTGCTATGTCATTTATGAGCTCATTCCCTTCTATTAATTTAAACATATCAATATATTTAAACATGAGACTTTATAACCATTTTGATATCTGAATGTCCTTTTTTTTGTGTTGGGACACTATTATGCTCATTTTCATGTGTGGGAGAGAAACTCCCTCTGGAGGGAACACAGGGATTTTAGCCTTGTTTGCAGACCATTTACATGCACAAAAACCTATATAACACTTTACAGGGAAGCAGGCAGTGGCGGCTCCAGAGTATCTTTGTTGGGTAATCTATGGTAGGCCTAACCCATACAGTGGTGGGGCTCAAGTCATTATTTGCAATGTAATTACATACACGCTATATCGCCCCCCTTGACAGTGAAACGCCACGCGTGAGGTTTAGATTAGTTTAGATTAATCAGCAAAATTACATAGAGAGCAACAGGTGTGAGTTAAACCAGTGGTTCTCAACTGGTCAAGCCTCAGGACCCACTTTTTTCCTTCGTCAATAAATCGCGACCCAAAGATATAATACCCAAAAAAGTGCACTAATATATGCTTCTCAGCATCCACTTAAGTAAAGTGAAGTACAGTGCATACATTTTCAGTAAATGTAGTCCATGGGAATAAACCCACATCCTCAACATTGTTTGTGCCATGCAAGGCAGATGATATCCCTTCACAGAACTACAGTATGCTTTTTAAACAAGTTTAAACTGATGATGGTCATCCAAATTGAACTGTATGAAAGAAAAAGGCACATTTGTCTTGTAGTAAATAAAAAGGGCGACCTGGAGCCAATCCTGCAATTTCCCCACAGGTGAAAGAGTTGACATGCTGAAAACCCAACCTCTGCAGGGGGGTCTGGGGGGATTATCCCCCAGGAGATTTTTTGAAATACTAACATAAAATACACATTCTGGTACTCTCTTGAGAAGAAAAAAAAAAATCTATTACTACACGACATATTGAAAACAAATTACTGCCATTTTAGTTTTTTGTTACTTTGTTCTGAAAGCTGAACCTGCTGCTCCTCAATCCGTGTATCTACCGTCCATTTGTTTTTCTTTATTAAACAAGTAAACGGAAGAGCGTCTGAGAGGCGTTTTTGCTAAATGGTCTAATGGTCATTGGAGCGAGGGGTGGGGCGAAACTCACGGAAGTGATTTCAAAACAAAAGCACTCGTGTGCTTGGAACGGTGATAATATTATAAACAAGGGGAAACAAGGGGAATTTAGCGATCACAACGAAATCGGCCCAGACACATATTGAGTCCAGAAAATGAATGTTATTACGGGCTATAAATATAATAAGCCTGTGTCTAAAATGGACAACATTGTTAGGAGATTTAAACTACTGTATGCAGCGATTCTGCACTGCGGTCAACTCAGCCGTCTCTCGAGTTTGTTATTATTTTTTCTGCCATTAGTTCTTCTTGAGATTGACACTGTTGGACTCAGTAATAGTGAAACTACTCCCACAAATACAATGAAGTACTTTTACTGTGTACTTTTTGAGTAATCCTCTGTCAATGTCCCCTCCTGAGTACAAGAATGCATGTTTCTTTGCTATTTTGAATCAGCGTTAAAACACCTTTCTTCATGAGACTTATATTGTTGGAAAGAGTATTTTAAGAGGATATGGTAGACATGATATCAGCAATACTTCCAGTCAGTACTCCAGCAGCAGCATTTGCACCCCTTGGGCTGGTCACAACTATCCTTCAGCAAAGTAACAAACCCTTGTGACTCTTGTTGGCCTCTTATGAAGCTGCTGTCTTTTAAATATGATTATTTCTCTGCTTCTAGTTCATTCCTCTCAGATTCTTACATCAGTCCCAGTCATTGCATGTCAGTCAACAGAGCTTCGAAAAATGTGTCCAATTCAACAAAATGTTTTTTTGTGAGTGAAGGCCAGAGCTAAATTATAGATTGTTTGATTGTGTAATTACAAGGTGAGAGAAAATAAATGGAAGTGTGCTGGAGGCGTTGACTGGGACTGATGGAAGGATGAGGCTGATGAGACTGAAGAATCTGCGAGGAACGAACTAGCGGCTGAGAAATAATCATATATTAAAAGACAGCAGCATCATAAGAGGGCAACCATGTGACAGAGTGTGTTACTTTGCTGAAGGATAGTTGTGACCAGCTATCCATTCCAGGCCAGACTCTAAAGACTTTCCAAGGTGTGAAAATGCTGCTGCCGGAGGACTGACTAGAAGTATTGCTGATATCATGTCTACCATATCCTCTTAAAATACTCTGTCCAACAATATCAGTCTCAGGAAGAAATGTTTTTTTAATGCTTATTAAAAAAAAAAACATGCATTCTTGTACTCAGGAGGGGACATTGACAGAGGATTACTGGAAAAGTACACAGTAAGTACTTCATAGTAGCTACTTGTGGGGGTATAGTTTCACTAGTACTGAGTCCAACAGGATCAATCTCACGAAGAACTAACCCTAACCCTAACCCTAACCAACACAAAATAATTCCCTCATCAAACTTAGCAGAAGTGGCTTGATTTTGTTCTCAGCAGGGGACTTTGACAGAGTATTTCTAAAAAATACACAGTAAAAGTACTTCAATGTATTGTTAGTAGTAGGCTAAGTAATACAAAGTAAAACATTATCAATTTCATTAAGAACTAATGGTAACATTTTATTTTTATCATTCATCAAAGCCAGCAGAAAACATGCATTATGTACTATGGAGGGGACTCTGACAGAGGATTACTCACAAAGTACACAGTAAAAGTACTTTATTTTATTTCTGGTAGCAGTCAAACTAGTACCGAGTCCAAGAGTGTCAGTTTTATGAAGAACTTGTGATAAATAATATTTGTATCACTCATTGAATATAGCAGGAAGAAAAATGAAGAGCTACTGATTTGAAAAAAAGTGCCCGTAATAACATTAGTTTTCTGGGCTCAAAATGTGTCTTGGCTGTTTTCGTTGTGATCGCTAAATTCACCTTGTTTATAATATTATCACAGTTCCAAGCAAACGAGTGCTTTTGTTTTGAAATCACCGCCCCTCGCTCCTATGACCATTTGACCATTTAGTAAGGTAAAAAGCAAAAAGCAAAAAGGCCTCTCAGACGCTCTTCCGCTTACTTGTGTAATAAAGAAAAGCAAATGGAAGGTAGATACACGGATTCTCCTCACAGAGAGAAGAGGAAAGAGGCTGTGTGAATTACTTTACATTGTGGATAAGGGTGGATAGCCCCCATTGTTCTGTGTGTCAAAATGAAAGACAGCCCACACACCTATCAACCATCAAACCGTGGGGTCTTATTTCATTACGTGTTGATAGAAATCAACACGTAATGTTGTATCCATGGATGTATAAAGAGTAGTTCTACAGCAAAATTATTCTCCGTCGGGACTTCCTGCAACAACACCACGCCGTTATCGTGATTCTGATTGGCCAGAAGACATTAGCAAAGATGTTTTATTGAGAAGACGATCACTATACGTGACAAAAGTTTTCAAAACCGTTTCTAGTCTTCGGCATTTCCAGATCCAAATCAATCTTACTTGCTGCTGTCTGTGCAATTTACTCGGCGCGAGTTGGCACGAGTTGGCAGACTTTTGTTTGCATACTTTAACATAATTTTTCATGGTGGGGCTAAGGTGGGGCTAAGCCATTTCTTGGTATGGCTGTAGCCTACCCCAGCCATACCCTGGAGCCGCCACTGGAAGCAGGACAGGGCTTCTTTAAGTAGTTAACCTGCAGGTACATAGGAACAGCTCTCCATTGTAATCTGTTGGTGGTCCGTCTGTTTTTAGAGTCAAGACATGCATTGACTAGATGAAAATATGTTTTTGACCAGTCTAAGAATCAGTGAAATATGCCCAGAATAGCTGATGGCATACAATGTGCCGGCAGACTTTTATTCACTTGTTTTGTTTGTTTTCATTGGCCATGCATTTTAATAAACCTGCAGCATGGTATGCCATCTGTTCAAGTTTAGAGAAGCTTGTGTTTTCCAGATTACATTGATTTACAATGAATTACTTACTTCACCCATTTATATAGTGGCAGTCTGCCTTTAACTGTATTTCTGCTTAATAAATAAAAGCAGTTAACACGTGTTGTAGTAGCATGACAGTCCACTGTTGGTAATATAGGAATGTATATGTGTGTGTGTCTGTGTGTTTGGGTGTAGCGTGCTAGTTCCCTGTCCTCATTTTGTGTTTTTTTTTCTGGTTTACTGTCTGTCCTCATTTCAAATATCTGTACTGACAGTTTGCGTTAATCCCTATAAACATTCAAAGGGTCCTACCTCTACATGAAGTTAAAAAATAACAGATTATTTATTCTTTGTTTCTACGGATATAACAAGATAAATTAAACAGAATATTAAAGCATGAGTTGACATGTTTCCTGTCATGATCCTATACTTTATCTTTTGCATTGCAGAACAAAACCTTTAAAAAATGTAAATATTTTGAAGCTAAAGCAGAAAATCTTCACATTTAAAGGTGGGGTAGGTAAATTTGAGAAACCGGCTCGAGATCGCTAGAATTTGAAAATACACAACCGGAAAAAATCTGCCACTTCCTTAGAGAGCCCCTCCTCCAACACACACGAACGCGCACATGACCAATGAGGGCACGAGATAAGTTTGTGCACAGATGGAAGGCTGACAGGCAGGTAGGCCATCCAGTTATTTTAGCCGGGCCGGCTAAAATGATTGGTTGTGCTTTTTACAGTATTACGGCTTCCACAGATGACATTCTTTTATGGATTTTTTGTCAAAGCACTTAAGATATTCATTGCTATCGGGATGTTAAGAGCATTCCATGGAATATAACAAAAAGTGTATCTCGAGCCGGTTTCTCAAACTTACCTACCCCACCTTTAAGAATTTGGAACTGTGAAATATTTTTTTATAAAAAAGTAAATTGCTGCCACTTCATTTTCTCTTAACCCACCTACTGTATGGTATTACCTACTTAAATATAATGTTGGATGGTTAAATCTATAGCAAATATACATATTTTAAACCTTTTTTCCTAAGTATTGTGTGTACAAATAATAATTGATAAAGTAACTAGTAAATAAATAATAAATAAACTACATGTATTGGAGTGAAAAGTACGAAATTTGCTCCAAAATGTAGAGTAGAAGTATAAAGTAGTAAAACATGACTAGTACTTCAAATTAAGAACAGTACTTGAGCAAATGTACTTAGTTACTTTCCACCACGGTCTAGTGATGTGGTAGTGATTTGGTCCCCCCCTGAATGGAAGTAAAACCATGTGACCTCTTGTTTTGGTCGGGTCCCTCACAGGAAGAAGCCTTTATGATTTGCGAAGCAGAGAGGGACTCACAGCTCTCCAGCTCCAGGGAGCAGGTCTGAGAGTCCAGAGGGAAGCGGCTGAAGTCCATGTTACAAGCTGCTGTCACTGTCACTCTGTCCAGATGAGACACAGAGACACACAGAGACACACAGTCAACAGGTTGTTACGTCATGATGTCACGCAGTGTCTCAATCTAATCAAACAGTGACTGGAAAAGACCTCCATGATTATCTTTTGTGAGTCTTTTTATTGTTTTCTGTGACCTGGGTAAAAACATCTACTTTATGTTATCTTTGAATCTTTGGCACTGAATGACACATTCATCTGGACAGGGCAGAAACCACAGGTCACACCATGTTCTTCTCTCAACACGTAGGAAGAGTCTGTCTATTTACAGCAAACTGTGATCGGGTTCCCACTCCCGCCTGAACCCACCTCATGTTATAAACTCAGGATCCATTTTTACTTTTTGTATTTAAAAAAAGCTCAATTATTTAACTGTTTCTATTGTTAATATTTGAAGTATTTCTTTGTGTGCATCATCACTCCTCCAGGGGAGTCCATCTTTATTTGTTTATGAGCTTGGACTCTTTTTCTGCAGGGACATTTTATTTCCTCTTAACCTCTGTATTTCAGATCAGTTTTAAACTTGTTAATTATAGAGAACAGAATATCAAGTAGGTTTACACATGCAAGGAATTTGCATTGATGCCTATGTGGCATACATAAACACAGTAAGAGAAATAAAGTAGCAAAAATAGAACTATTATAAAAAGCATTTTAAAATTAAAATTAACAAATATAGAGAAATATTTACATAGACTTCAGACACTTATTGACGTATTTTATGCCTCACAACAAAATATGAAATCTTCTTAAGCTATTGTCACAGACCTTATTTCAGGCATCAAACCAAAAACACATTTAAAGAACGGAAAGTGGTAAATGCTAACTAATTTCTGGGTTTTAGGACTCATTCCTGCACTGCCCTATTTTGTTAAGGGTTTTGCAGTTAGCAGTCTTGTTGATATATTAGAAAAGAGAGAAATGTGTTTTTTTGTGCTATATAACTGTATGTAACTGTTGCTAATAGAAGACTTTACATTAAGTATGACATGCAAACATAACATTTTTGTCGCTCTGAATAAGACTTCATGTGAGCCTTTGCTACCTACAGTACAAACACACATACATAAAACATCACATCCTTGCAAACCAGAATTATTGTATTGAATGTCCAATAGTGAAACAAACAATGTCTTGGCGAGTCCTTAAATTACCAGGGTCTCTTTGAGGATGGAAATTCCTTCTGAAATTACCACTTTACAGACACAAGGTCCCTGTGGCAGCATCACAACAGGGCCTCAGTCTGAAGGAAAATCACTTTGTGTCAACATTGTTTCCAAATGAAACTATTCCAATGAAGTGTTTTATTCCAGAATGTTATTCCTGAGAGAGACCCTGAAGTAGCATTGACATGAAGAATCTCTAATAAGCAGAGACTAGGAAATTCCTTTAGGCTTAGCGGAGCGACCCACTTTATATTAAACAGAAGGAGATAATAAGGCCGCAAAATGAAGACAAAATGAAGGACTTTTACCACAAAGATAGTCCTGTCATGTTTTTCTGACTCATATGTGGTCTAAATCATGGGGAATTTTGAAATCATCTTAAAGTTGATATTTGGCGTCATGGAGTGTTATCTGCTCTTTGTTTCAAGATCAAATAGTGGTTTTGCATGTTAAGCCTACTTAATGAAAATCAAGCTAACAATACAGCACAGCTTACTGCAAACTATGCTTTTAGTTTTAAGCCGATAAAGGACAAAACTTTATGTTTTCTTGGGTATTATTAATACTTGGAATTTAACAGCCAAGAGCAACCATTTAATCATATAATTTCCTATGAGGGAGGTATTCCTATATTATTAATATGCTTCTCTGGGTTCCTGTGACCAACATTCAGACGGTGAAATGCTACACACCTCAAGCTGTAGAGGACATGTCCGTCAGGAAAGACCCGCAGCATGATGTTCTCCGTGGTGGTGTCGTGGATAAAGGACCTCTTGGAGTGGACGAAGAAGACATCAGGGACCCAGATCTTCTTCACCAGACGGCCATCGAACGTCATGCTCTTATTGGTGCTGCTGGTGAACGACAGGCGCTCGTCTTTCCAGTAATGCCTGAGGTACAGGGTCATCGTGAAGTCCTGGTGGGGTTTAAGGAAAGCGGGATTAAATGTGACATCTTTATCTGTGAACCTGGTATTATTTTGTCAAAACAATGACTTAAAGACTCATTATGTCTCTTTTATTTTGAAGTTTCTCAATCTTTGTCATATCTGTTTTTACTTCCTGTCTTTGTTTGTTTTCCGATTTTAATTATCTGTCCTCTTCCATAGAGTTGTGCAGGGATGACATATTTTGGAGGAATTGTAAGCAGTGCAAAGGCTCAGGGGACAAAAAGCTATGGCATTTTTCGATTTTGGGAATTTTGGAGGAAAAGATATCTGGCAAACACTTATACTTACAGGTTTTGATCATAAGTATAATCTCCATATATTAACACCACTTTTTGGATGTTTGAAGCATTAATGCAACGGCAAAAGTGAAAAAGCTAACGTTAGGCTAGAAACAAACTACATAAACATCACATTAAGCAATGCTAAGCTAAAGGTGGCTAATGTCAACTGCCGTTTTTAACCTCTTAACCTGTTAAGCACCAAGCCTGTTTTTCATGTTTCAGGCTCGAAAATGACATGCCCAAAACAAATGACTACAACCTAACTTCTAAAAGGGTTATATGAATAATTTATTTTATCAAAGCAAGGTTACATCTGTGAGTTGGATGTAGAAGTGTCAGAATCAATATAAATGTTTTTTATTTTAAAGAAAATTCAGATTTTACATAGTAAAAAACTGTAAATTATAGTGTCCGTCCAAAAATTATTTTTTACAGATAGTGAAAACTACCCTTGGATGATGGGTTAGTAGACTAAAAGCTTTAGGAATCCAAAGTACAACATAAAATAAGTACCCTGTATCAAGATTGATGCAAAACAAGTGACATTTGACCTTCTTAGAGAGGTTTAGCCAAAACCACCCCACCTCTGAGGTGATTTGGGTGAAAATGTTTTTTTTTTCATATCTCTGGCCCCCCTTGCTCGATTTTGATGGTTGACACCTCCTTCTGACCGTTAGAGCCAATAGAATCGAAGGGGGAGGCCCACATACACACTCATTGTAAAGAGAAAAGGTGGGGGCTGCGCGCATATAATTTTGCATCAGAGTGGACCGATCTCTCCCTCTGACATTTGGAAACTAAAAAGCAGTTTTATTGCTTATGGATTATCAGAAATAATTTCAAAGAGGACACAGATACATTGGATGAACCTATGGATTAACTGCAGCATCGTTTTTTTATCGTTTTAATGCCATTGAAGACCAGTTTTGACCAAGGTAAGCCATGTTAGCGTTTCTAGCTACTTAGCTCCACATGTTATGATGTACGCTTTCGTTTATAGCGTCGCAAATGTTTATCACTGAGTGTTGAGGTTTTTTACACAGATTCAGTGTCTCCAGGACACCAAAAACGAGTGGTTGGCTGTGCATCTAGGATAAGTAATAAGGGAGTTATTGTGAGTTTAAGTGCCGTTTTAGGTTACATTTTTTAGCTCGTGGCTAATTCAGAGGCTGAGTGCTAGCATTGTGGGGTTTTTTTGGAAAAAAAAATTAAAAAGATCAGTTAGCTGAGTTTCTTCCCGTTACATGGATATAAAACATTCATAGTTTTATTAACCTGTTAAGCACCGAGCCTGTTTTTCATGTTTCAGGCTCGAAAATGACATGCCCAAAACAAATGACTACAACTTAACTTCTAAAAGGGTTATATGAATAATTTCTTTTATCAAAGCAAGGTTACATCTGTGAGTTGGATGTAGAAGTGTCAGAATGAATATAAATGTTTTTTATTTTAAAGAAAATTCAGATTTTACATAGTAAAAAACTGTAAATTATAGTGTCCGTCCAAAAATTATTTTTTACAGATAGTGAAAACTACCCTTGGATGATGGGTTAGTAGACTAAAAGCTTTAGGAATCCAAAGTACAACATATAATAAGTACCCTGTATCAAGATTGATGCAAAACAAGTGAAATTTGACCTTTTTAGAGAGATTTAGCCAAAAACCCCCACTTCTGGGTGTTAAGGTTACATTTTTTAGCTCGTGGCTAATTCAGAGGCTGAGTGCTAGCATTGTGCGTTTTTTTTTTTTTTTTAAATTAAAAAGATCAGTTAGCTGAGTTTCTTCCCGTTACATGGATATAACACATTCATAGTTTTATTCAATATTAAGATTCCTTAGACGTTGTTTCCTGCAAATGACGCGTTTATCCGCCCGGTACTGGGCGGAAGGTGCGTAACAGGTTAAATATTAAGATTCCTTAGACGTTGTTTCCTGCAAATGACGCGTTTATCCGCCCGGTACCGGGGGGGGCCGTGCGTAACAGGTTAAGCCCTGAGCCTGTTTTTCAGGTTTCAGGCTCGAAAATGCCACTAACACAACAAAGACTATATCTTCACTTCTAAAAGGGGTAAATTAATTATCTTTTTTCTCAAAGCAAGGTTACATCTGTGAGTTGGATGTAGAAGTGTCAGAATCAATATAGATGTTTTTATTTTAAAGTAAATTCATATGGAACATAGTAAAAACATGTAAATTCTAATCTCCGCCTAAAAAAGCCCATTACTTATAGTGAAAACCACCCTTGAATGATGGGTTAGTAGACTAAAAGCTTTAGAAATTCAAACTATAACATATAATAAGTACCCTGTATCAAGATTGATGCAAAACAAGTGAAATTTGACCTTTTTAGAGAGGTTGATCTGGTGCTACACATTAATAGTTTCATAAATGTTAAGAAGCCCTGAGACATTGTCTCAAAAAAAAAAAGTGGGAGGGGTCCAATGGGGGGATCACCGTGCTTAAGAGGTTAAAACCCCGGGCCTTAAAACCCCTGCCGAAGGCGGCTTACAGGCCTCGGTGGCAGCGGTGGGGGGAGCGGTAAGCCTACACGCTCAGCCGCCAGGGTCATCACCGCCGGGAAGTCCAGCCGCGCAGACCTGTGTGCTGGACCCTCCTGGCCGTCTGTCATGTGGGTATATATTAATGCTGCCCATTATGGACACAAGCAATTTTCACCCATGTATTAATTATATGTTTTAAATTTGATAACGCCAATGTGTTTCCCATCCCCTAAACCTCCAGGGATGTACACAGTTGAATAACTTCTAATTATGGGAAATAAGAAAACGTCTTTTAAAACTACAATTCCTAGTAGAGACGTGCCATAGAACATGTTGCGAAACACAATAGCCAGCATGTGTAGGGGGGGGGGGTGGACACGTTCGAGTCCTGTTTTGGATAGTGTGCCGTGGATGGGCGTCATTCCATTTCAAAGAGCTGTTTGATGCTCGGCGTAACCTTGGCGCACTGCCACTCCAACATAGTCCCAAACGATAGCTGAGGATTATGGGTAGTGTAGTGTCTTCGGCCATCCTAAACTCCGAAAAAACTATTTGTTTCTCCGAATCGAAGGGGAAAAACACAAAAGCATTGTACACCATTTAAACCAATCCATGTTGTTTAATTAACAAGGATAAACTGATGTTTTTTAGTGGATGAGTACTGCAGATATCACTGTAAAATCATTTGACAGTGAGGTGAATACTTCCGGTTTTATTATGAAAACTTCGAGACCGGAAATACTGTTTTCACCCCGTGAGGGTTGACGCCAACTTTACATGGACGCTGCCGTCAATAGAAATTAATAGGGGGAAAGACGTAGTATACACGTTCTCCTGGCGAGACCTCAAATAATCTTCGTAATATCTATCAAACTATAGATCCTACACATCCACTGGACGTAGATTCTAAAAGTACAACAGCCCAGGAGACAAAAATCTACTGGAAGCGTCACAGCCCTGTCGATCTCAAAGGCTTATGGGAAAATAAAAATATCTGTTGCTGTTAGTAGAAGTCACTTCAAGATAGAACATGTAATTAACTGAAGTGTCATCACCATTCTATCTGCAAGACATCTAGCCTTGAAAGCATTGGAAAACGGTAAAGACCACAGCAACAAAGACACATAATGACCGGTTGTTACATTGATTTTGAGATGTGACTCATTAATTAAAGCCTGTTATGGCTCCAGTTAACTGACGTCAATCGAACTGCATACACACATCCTCAGGTGGGAACCTCCAGGATTGTGGTCGAATATCTTTTTCAACGGAGTGAAATGACCGGGAAGTCTCTAGGTGCCAGCCATGCTAGGAGCTGTTAGAATCCTTTATGATAGGAAAGGAGCCTAAATGCTTCCTTTGCTATCTCCTCTAGCATAGTATACACTGGACCATCCTTTAGGAAAGGAAAGGAGATAATGCTGTCCCACAAGTTATACATATATTACATAAAGTATTATTTAATGAATAACTCTCAATGGGATTCATGTCAATTAATACAAGTGTATCGCAGGTCTCATACTATGACCTGCATCATCTTTAAAGTTCTGTCACATTGTATACAGCTCTCAAATATCCAAAGGTTTAATCGGCATATTATGCACAAAAGCTTCAGTGTAGGTGTTGGCAATCCCAAGCTCCTCCAACAAAGCAACATAAAGATATAAAAAGTAAAATACATAAATAGTTCTAGAAAGGTTTTAATAAACACAGGCTTTCTTACCATATCAACCTCAGAGATGCTGTCTAAGCTCTCCACCTGAACGTCCACTCCCACAGGGATGGCAGGTCCTGCAACACAAAGAGCATAAAGAAGATTAGAACAGTGGGCCACCTTCTCCCACTCAGATCACAGTGGAGTGCTTTAGACATTTAATTTCCTTCCAATAAAACCTGGTTATGGCTCTTTTCAATAAATCTTCAATAGGATATGAAAGTCTGCCTGATATTCAGTTGCTCTTTGGTATTGCCTATACTTCAATCGTTGAAAGAACCTGAACATCTTTCTCTGACTATTCTGCAATCTTCTATTTTGATATGGGAAGCCAATAAGTCAAATGTCTCTAACATTTTTCAACATTAACATTAATTTACATTAATATGAGGAGGTGAAGGATTGCAATTAATTCCTATTTACTCAAATATATGCAGGGACATTTAGTCTCTGCTTCTGTCCTATTTTAGGATAGGCAGCTATATATACAGCAGCTAGGGAGAAGTGTGGGGTTTCATTCTGGGACTTGAACCGACAAACCTCTGGTTCCCATGCCAATTTCCAAGAGACTAAGCTACACTCCAGACATTCAGTGATATTATCTAATAATAGAACCACCTTTACTTTTCTTTATCAATATGATTCCTAATTCCTGAATTAAAATGTTTTAAACAGCAGGGGAAACATTCCGTCATTGTGTTTTTGTATATATGAGAGACTCAATCAATCAATCAATGTTTATTTATATAGCCCAATATCACACATGTTACATTTGTCTCAGTGGACTTCACAGTTTGTACAGAATATCAGTATGACAATACAACACCCTCTGTCCTTGGACCCTCACATCATACAAGGAAACACTTCCAAAGAAACCCCACAGAGAGTCAGGCAGGACCACAGAGACAGGTTCAGCCACGACTCGAAATCCAGGACTCAGGATGCAGGACTCAGGATCCAGGACTCAGGATGCAGGACTCAGGATCCAGGACTCAGGATGCAGGGCTCAGGATCCAGGACTCAGGATGCAGGACTCAGGATCCAGGACTCAGGATGCAGGACTCAGGATCCAGGACTCAGGATCCAGGACCACAGATTCAAAATGTTTGCTGAATAATAAAATATGTATTCAGAGCTTAAGCTTTGAGCCTTGCCTCTTCTTTTCCTGCAGACATTTTTGATGCTTGAATGTCTGACATTGACTTGTCCAACCCTTATCTAAAGCAATGCAAAGTATCTGCATATCATATCATTGTTTTTAATTATTTGAGTAATTTCTTTACATAGTTCAAATATTTGTGATTTTGTACATAGATATACGTCTAGAGCAGCGGTTTTCAAAGTGTGAGGCGCGCCTCCCCTGGGGGGCGCCAGAGAGCTTCAGGGGAGGCGCAGCGTGAGAAAAAAAACAACGAGAAAAAGACAAGTAAAGTGACACTTGCACACTTTTGGCTGTCTGTGGAGACCGAGTTCCCCCACCTCGCCAAAAGGGCTGTAAAAGTGCTCATTCCCTTCACCTCCACCTACCTGTGTGAGTGCGGGTTTTCCGCATTGACTTTGATCAAAAGCAAGTGCCGGTGTTGTGCCAAATTATGCACCCCCGTCATGAAATGCCCCCCTTGTCACGGGAACGCGCATTTCTAAATGACACGTTTACACCTTAAAACGATGTTTAAAACGAAAAGTAAACGTTCAGGGTTTTTATTAATGGTAATTTTCAGACTGTGAGTTGTTTAGTGGTAGCTCATATAGTCTTGATTGTTGTGGTTAAACTTTTCGCTCCGTATTTGATGGTAGTGGTGTCGAAATTCATTCGTCACTTCCTTTTCAAAAATTTTTTTAAATCTTTTTTTTTTGTTATTATTGTTACGTCCTGTCTGTATACACGTGCTTTAAAATGTATTGTTTAATTTTACATATTTGTCACATAATAATCAAAATATATGTTTACAAATGTTACATAGTCTTTGTCAGCATATTTTTAAGGGGGGCATGACAGGGGGGCATAATTTGGCACAACACCGGTCAAGGCTGCAGCCAGAGGATGATCGTTTATTCCTGTGTGCATCAAAGACGCAGACTCATTGTTCCCACTAAAGTAGGGGTGAGTGTAATAAGGAGGCACAGTTAACGTTCAGTGTGTTGCCGGGAGCATATAAGGATGTATCCACGATGTTGAAACTGTAAAAAATGTTTAAAAAATATGTGTTGAGAACACGGCGTGCGAAAAATATACGGGTCGTGCTACAGCTAAATGTTCCTGTCCTCTGTAAGAAGGTGTCGGCGACTGGCATGCAAGGAAGAACGGCTGTCCACAGGCTGTTCCAACTGTAACAACTTTATTAACTTCCAGGGTAGTGAATTGAACATGCAATTGTAATTGGGTGTGTGGTATATTTTCATGCACGGACACGCATGTTCCACAACACACAAACTGAACAACACTCAATTGTCCGATCGCTACCACTGTCCTTGCGATCTTGTTATAACAACAAAGTGCACGTTACTGATGCAATATGGTTGAGACCATTCGGGCTTATTCTGGGGTGCAAGGAATAGTCCAAGTAGTGGGGAAGTTTTATACAATATGTTTAAAACATAAAGATAAAAAGGTTTAAAAAAGTTATTGTTTAATGTTTTAAGGAGGTGATGCTACTCAGCCAATCAAATGGGTGCAGTCAGTGAGTCAGCACGATAGATTCAAACACACACACAGATACGAGACAAGAGGAGAGAAACAGTCTTCATTTTCTCTTACTGGACCTCTTTGAAATGCAATTGAATACCCCTGCATTATAGCAACAACAACAATAATAATAATAATAATAATAGCAATAATAATTGGGAGGGGGGGCGCGGCTGTTCTTATGTTCTCTGAGGGGAGGCTCACCTTCCCACACTTTGAAAACCCCTGGTCTAGAGTCTATACTTAATTGCATTTCTTTCTTTAATTATAATCAGAAATTCTCTATTAGTTCCGCATCGGGGACATTTTAGAGCGTCACAGCAAAAGTGACAGGCAGATAAAAGGCAATCCAATTTTTTTAAAGTAAGCCAACATACAGTATTAAATATAGAGACAAGCACACGTTAGCAAATTATAAAGACAAATAAATACACTATACTCTATGGTTAAAATAAGGAACAGCATTTTAAAAGTGAACATAACGTTGAGATTGTATGTAATGATTTTTGCTGAGTGAAGTAGAATTCAGATTAACAAAAGTAGAATTCAAAAGAGTGTATATTGCACATAGCAGGGTTATGCACAAGATTGTATTAGTCTGTATTGCATAAATTATGACTGTTAGGTTTCGGGACCTAAACTCAATGAATCGGATTTAGATAAAATGGTGACACCAATTTGAGTTGGTCCCATATGAACTCATAGTGAAATTTGGCCAGAGTGATGTGACTTGTGTGGAGCCCAGGGATTGGCAGCTGTCTCACTAATGCAGTGTAAGAACCAGGGATCACAACACATTACACAAATCCACAGGAAGTGGAAAAAGTTACCCAAACAAAGGATCTGATTTCCGTTTAATATAAATGAGGACATTCAAGTGACATCTGTTGCAAAGATGTATTATTCAAACAACAGTTTTTATAAATAATATGTATAACTGTGCTGCAAATACTGCTTGGACATATTTTGTTGCATTATGTTTATACACGGTGGGTCAAATTGATATTCCGATAGAGATAGAAACCACCCCATGCGTTTACAGTACATGAATTGTACCTATTCTAACATCTTTCTCTGACTATTCTGCATCTTCTCTCCTGGTTTACTATTTTGATATGGGAAGCCAATAAGTCAAATGTCTCGAACATTTGTCTTACTTTCTGTACATTAATATGAGGAGGTGAAGGATTGAAATGAATTCCTATTTACTCAAATATATGCAAGGACATTTAGTCTCTGCTTTTGTCCTACAGCAGGGGATACATTCCGTCATTGTGTTTTTGTATATATGAGAGATTCAATCAATCAATCAATCAATCAATCAATGTTTATTTATATAGCCCAATATCACACATGTTACATTTGTCTCAGTGGACTTCACAGTTTGTACAGAATATCAGTATGACAACACGACACCCTCTGTCCTTAGACCCTCACATCGTACAAGGAAACACTTCCAAAGAAACCCCACAGAGAGTCAGGCAGGACCACAGAGACAGGTTCAGCCACGACTCGAAATCCAGGGCTCAGGATCCAGGACTCAGGATCCAGGACTCAGGATCCAGGACTCAGGATGCAGGGCTCAGGATCCAGGACTCAGGATGCAGGACTCAGGATCCAGGACTCAGGATCCAGGACTCAGGATCCAGGACTCAGGATCCAGGACTCAGGATGCAGGACTCAGGATCCAGGACTCAGGATCCAGGACTCAGGATCCAGGACCACAGATTCAAAATGTTTGCTGAATAACAAAATATGTATTTAGAGCTTAAGCTTTGATGGTGTTTTACTAACTGCATTTCATTCTGCTTTACTGTAACAGGATTCATGTAAATGATTAATATCCATTTACCATCTCTGTCATGACCTCTGACCTCTACATAAGGACAGGAATGGCATTACACCCATTACACACCCTGACCCTGTCACATATCTGCAGTCGGCATGTACACACTGCATAGATGGAGCTAAAGTTGAGGGAAGATTTAGAGGCGGTTTGAACCACTTTGCATCACTTATCTATACTGTAATCCAAAGAGATTACCAGAGACGCTAAATGCTAGATTACGGCCATCAAAGCTCCTCAAATGAGGGGCTGTGGAGGGATCTCTGCCTCTGGGATTAATATTCACTTACTGGGACAATGCCACCAAGTGTTGCACTTCTTGTCACTAAAGAGAAAAATGGTCTTCTGCTCTCACAGTGATCAACCAGTGTACAACGGCTTCAAGATAATGTCCAGCCTTGCAGTGCCTCTTACGGGCACATTTCCATTAGGAAAGCGCGGTGCACTTTCAAAAACGATGCAAATAAAACCGGAACACCTGTTTACGTTTGGGGATTATAAAATTGGCTAACTGTCACTGTACATTTACCTAAAATGTTTTATTG